CCTTTCCTGCTTTCATTTTCTCTTCTAATTTTGGTCCTCTTACTGTGCTCGAGTCTTGCTTAGATGCTCTGGGCTTTTGACAGGTCTGAATAAACTACTCTTAAATATACCCAGAATAGCTTTATTTAGTATAGCAAACATCCCAGTGTGCTGATTTTCTTTTCCCTATCCAAGCTTCTTTCCAAGAAGCAAATTAGCATCGTGATGTTAAAACGCTCACAAATTTCTTCTCGTGTGTGCTTTTAATTCTTTTGGATCCAGCTCTTCGCAGCTTTTGCATGCAATTTTCCTGCAATACAGATAAGGTTGCATTTGCGCCTCCTTTTTTTCCCCCTCACCAGGCCATGGTACATAAACACTGTTGGTTTTAGATAGCGCTGTATCACACGCTCCCAATTTGAGGCTCTTTGAGGCATTCCCAGTCGATAATGAAGCCACGCTCTGACCTTTCTTTCCCACTAGCAAATAACAGAGAGAAAATGTAGCTCAGAAGAGAGGGATGATGAAAAAAGAGGGGAACGACCAAAATATAAATCATCAAATGAACTGATTTGTAAAGCTGTGTAATAACCATATGCTGCAGGATTGAAACCATGCTCATTTTTTATGCATGTTGTTAATAAAGTAAATTATCTGCCCTTATTTTTCAGCCCTTAATGCAAGGAAAAGTCAGGGTCTGAATGGATTTTCTCCCTTTCTAGGGCCTGGTGTTTTTTACAGCTTCAGCTGTCACATGTTTTTGATGTCACAGGCTTGTCATGTAGGCAACAGCAGTACTATGGTATTTTGTTGGTGTTGAAAAGAAATTTGTATAGATTTTATGCCACTCTATTCACCTTCAAGAGTGAAATAAGTTTAAATTGGCCTGTTTCTGTATCAAGTTTTTAAGTTCAATAGATTTTGCCACATATCCTATATGTTTTCATGCACTGGTGGATACCTAAATCCAGTTTATCCTGGACAACGGTAGCCGTTACAGTTATCAGAGGATTAGGAATTGGGGAAAAAAGTTCGTCTGTGCTATGGGCTGTTACGGTAAAGCAAAGTGAACTTTGCTTCCAGAGTTTCCCCTTTAGCAGCCTCAACACTGACTTTCTCCCCCTCCAGAGTCATCCAATATTTGGCAAACCCTGTCAGTGATTTCAAGCTTTAGCTATCACAAATTATTTATGAAGGGTGCTCGTGCTTCCAGCAGACAGCTTATCCTGGCCTTGGGCCGTGCGTTGCTTATGCTGTCCCTGCAAAGGGGAATATTGAGACTTGTCTTTACGCACGGAAAAGTAGGAAACCCAAAAGCTCGTGCCTGAGCCTCCGTTTATGCCCTTTGCCATAAATATAATAAGAGTCTCCCAGTTCCTCTTTTCCCCCTTACTTCTTGGGTTTCCAGAGTTTGTATGCTTACTGTATGGACAAAACCTAATTGTTCATCATTAATTTTAGCATGTTCCTTCATTGTGCTAGTAATTGAGTTGTGATATAGTAGGATATAAGGTTCAATTTGTTTTGTGACATTTCTTTACAGATCATGCTTTTCATGCTACAACTAAAATTATAGTAGCAGGCTTGAGCGAAATCAGCTAGATTTGAATCCAAGTTTCTGTTCAAACATAGAAAATGCACAAAAATATAGAGAAAATATAAGGGGGAAAGCATTTTGGTTAAAAACCTCATGAATTCTCAATGGTGTGCAAGTGCTTCCTTTAGCATCCATAAATTTTGTGCAGAGCTTTCACAGGAGTTGGCAGTTATTTTTTGACCTCTGGGCTGTAATGCGTCCTCCAGCTTTCTGTCTCCGGTGGGATCAGCATCCTGTTACTGCTCTCCTCATCCTTGCCAAAGTCAGTACATTAGTGTAATACTCAAAAGGTAGCTTGGTGGTAAAGGTAGGTTAGCTTATAATCTGATGCTTTTTCGACAGAGGCACAAATATACTGTTTCAGTAAGATATTAGATTTTTTTCTCTCTCTTTTAGCTTGTATAGATGACCTGCCTACATAGATATAATTTTGATAGACTCTCTTCTACATGGAAACACTCAGCAATACTGAATGTCTTTAAAGTAGACAGTACAGAGCAGGTATTGATGGGTTATAGAGCACTGTTTGTGTTGCCCTTTTCATGTCCGCATTTAAAGTTTTTCATGCAGAAGCAAAATTATAGTTGAAGTTGTATGAGAGCTAAAACGGCAGCCGCCTTGAGCAGCGTCTTCGTGAAGGGAACCTCCCTGCTGACCCACGCTGATTCCCGTGTGTTCTGCAACGTGCTTTGAAAATCCACTGTCCGCAAGAGGTGCCTTTGGTGTTCGAGCCAGGCCAGGCTCGCGTGCATCCGTGGCTGGGAGGCCACAAGCAATTATCTTCATTAATGGTCCTTTGACCTACCATAACGCCCCGAGCTTATATTTAACGTTATTAAAAGTAAATCATGCGTCGCTCCTGTGATTTATGAGGCTCAAATTAGCAACTCTTCACTTTCTCACCTCACTAAATGTTTTAACAGTTGGTGGAGGCTCCTGGCGTTCGAGTAGCTCTAGGAACCTGGCTCTTCTTGAGGTCAGCTTCCAGGGTCACGGATGTTTTTAGCTCTCCATACGTCGTGCTCGGCTCTTTTCTATTGGGCTGCAAGTTGTTTGGATGCAAAAGGTGCAGTTCTTCATTACGCTACAAAGTCCGGGCAGGATAAGCATCTATATAGGAGCAAACAGGCACTTTCAGGTAGACACGGCAGTGCGGTAGACCTCTGATGGTAACTTTATAGGGAATTTACCCAGCTCGTAAGCTCTTGCAAGGAGAGAGGAGGTGGAAGGGCAGGTAGGTCTACTCAAGCGAGCTGGCTTGTGCTGTTTGTATTTCTCATGTGAGTCAGCAGTCTCTGATAACTCGAATAAAAATAGCAAACCATCTCTTCCCAAGCTTTGAAGTCAAGTCTTAGCGAAGACTTATCTAGCTGCAGCTAAGTGTTTTTTCCCTCCTCAAGAAAGGCTGATAGGGTGATAGTCCTCAGAGAGCTAAACAAAGAAAGCCCAACCCGGCACTTAACTGACATCATCCCTGCTGCATCTGTGCATGTCCTAAATCTGCAGGAAAGCAGCTGGAGCTTTTCCCAGCTTATAATGTACGTCCTGCTACCGAGCGATGCGCAGTGAATCCGTGCCAGATGTGTTTCGCTGTGACATAGTCATTTTTTCTGCCTCAAATGGCGTGCGGTTAGGGATAATGTATTTAATGAAATATTGAGCGAGAAACAATGCAGTGTAAAGCAAGGCCTCTTCATCTGAGGAGCTCAGAAATGTTTGTAACACATGATGCAAGTGTCCAAATCCTGGCTGTGTGGAGATGGTGACTAGGGAGGAGTGTGAGTAGAGGACGAGCATGTAAAACGTTGCCTCCAAACGCTCTTCATGATCCCCAAAGCTCAGGAGCTCCGTAAAGCCCATAGGGGTCTGGACCTCATGCTTTTGGCTGCTCTTGAGTCTTTTGCTGCTGTTCAGGAACTATCCTTGGTCGTGCCCAGATGTCCTTCCTCAGGGCCAGCACTCGACTCAGTGAGTCTCGCATAAAGTCAGGATGTGCCTCACGTAATGCTTGCCTCCCGTGGGTCTCTCCCTGCTGCTTTATTGCCCCTATTAGGGATGCTTATGGTCCCCTGCATTTCTTCACAGTTTTCTTAGGAATAGCTGGAAAGGCTTCTAGGAAGCTTTGAGAGCTTGGTCCTTAACAATTTATCTGAGCTGAGAACCACTACTCTATCAATTCCTTTCATTTGGGAGGGCAGTTAGGATGTCTTATTTTTGTAGTTACTTAGTTTGAGCAATTACTTGTCCATGAAATATGTTTCAGCCCTGGGGGTGTGCTTTTGGGTGCTTTTTGTGCTCTTTGGATAATATGTGATGATTAAAAAGTGATATTGGATGACTGTGTTGGCCATAATGCATCATATCTGGTATTAAATATGAACATCTCTGAGAAGGTCGACATGCTATGTGAAAAACCATTGCTGTTTAGATCCTGACTGGTTGAAAATGCCCTATAGAAAAGTGGAAGAGGGCTGTGTCTCCTTAACCTGCCATGGCACAGGGTGTCTGGGTCAGGGAATGCTCAGTGCCTGCACAGAAGCTCTGTTTTTCTTCGCTGTGGCCAAGACCTTGGAGCTTCTGACAGCTGGGCAATCAAATTCATTTATTTTTTTGAATCAAGACTAGGCAAGTAACTGTTTTCAAGTGTCATTGTAAATTTTGTTCAGGAACGTCTTCGTAGCGATGTTTTCTGTTGGGTTGGAGTAAGCCTTAGAGATGATCCTTCTAAGTTTTCCACTTTTGCATTTTAGAAAACTGTTCAAACCTTTTAAATGTTTAGTGTAGTCTTGCGCAATCTGTAAAATAATTTATGTGCATGTGTAAATTCATCTTTGGAAAATCGAGGGTTGGTCCTCGAAGACATAAATTGAATGATACTTGCCCTGAATTTGCCTGAAGGGAGTTTATGTGAGAATCTAAGCATGAGTAACTCCCAAATAAGTTATTTGGTAATTTTAATTGGCCTTAGAGACTACCTTTTGATATGGGAAGAATGCTGTGGTTGCATCAGTGTGCTAATCTGGTTTGCTGTCCGCAAGAGACTCTTCTTCCTGCAGATTTTATGCAATCCCTGCAATCCCAAACCAGAGAGGAATTCACTGTATTTGGGATGCCTGAGATGCAAGGGGAAAACTAGTGAAAGCTTGAGGTCTCGAAAGTAATTATGTCCATGAAGAGCTGGGCCTAAAGCCATTAGTGTTTGCACGCTAAGTATTTTCTGAGTGTGTTTTTCCTGATGACATTTGTATATTTACGCTCTGCTCTCAACTGTCAGCTTGGAACGATGAGTCACTGTCTTCAGGTGTTGCATGGTGATATTTAGGCTGCTCCTCTGTATTGCTTTCCACTGTGTGCATCCGTCTTTTCAGAGATTCCCAACAAGATAAGGGCCTAACCTATATTTATTTTTTCTCTCTTTAGTGTTGATAACATGATGACCTGACTCTCCTGCCTATGCAGCACGGGCACTGATGGGAAAGGATCCAATATGAGTGTAAATGATGTTGGAGGCAGACGACGCTTTGAGGAGAGCGAGTACACGCTGCACATCTACCCCGGGAGTATTGCCGAAGGGACCATCTATTGCCCCATCACCGCCAGGAAAACCTCAACGGCAGCCGAGGTGATCGAGTCGCTCATCAACAAACTCCAGCTAGAGAAGACAAAATGTTACGTCCTCGCAGAAGTGAAAGAGTTTGGCGGGGAGGAATGGATCCTCAACCCTACGGACTGCCCGGTCCAGCGCATGATGCTGTGGCCTCGCATGGCCCTCGAGAACCGCATCAGCGGCGAGGACTATCGCTTCCTTCTGCGGGAGAAGAACCTCGACTATCCACTCCGGCAGCCTCCAGTCGTGGCTGCGGGTGACGGAGGAGCGCCGCAGGATGGTGGAGCGGGGCTTCCTTCCCCAGCCCCCGCAGAAGGACTATGACGACTTGTGCAGCCTCCCGGACTTGAACGAGAAAACGCTCCTGGAGAACCTCAGAAACCGCTTTAAGCAAGAGAAAATTTACACTTATGTAGGCAGCATTCTCATAGTTATTAACCCGTTTAAGTTTCTACCTATTTATAATCCCAAATATGTTAAAATGTACGATAACCATCAGCTGGGAAAGCTGGAGCCCCACATTTACGCTGTGGCGGATGTGGCCTACCACGCCATGCTGCAGCGGAGGAAGAACCAGTGCATCGTGATCTCGGGCGAGAGCGGGTCGGGAAAAACCCAGAGCACCAACTTTCTGATTCACCACCTCACTGCCCTCAGCCAGAAAGGATTTGCTAGCGGAGTAGAACAGATTATTCTTGGAGCTGGACCAGTGCTTGAGGTAAGATGAACATGATAGTACTTTGAAAGCTATATATATGTATATAGTGTTTTTTAAAAAACAGAAATCTAAGTAGTTGTGGTTTTGTTATGAGACTAATCTCAGGTTATCCAGTAAATGCTGATAATAAAGTAGCAGTGGTATTAGCAATAGGAGGAGATTGCTTCTCTGCCTGAGAATACTGGCTGGTGCAGCAAATGGGTTTTTGGCTGTTACTAATGCATTTATTTTCAGTCAGGTGTTCTTTACTGCTGGTGTTATGTCAGTGATTTTCAGTCTGAGAAATTCATAAAGGTATGAGAAAAGCCTCCTTGAATTGACAGAAGTCCATTTTACAAAATCTGCTGAAAGCTGAGTTCCTTGCCCATGGTACGTAGGTGGTGGTATTCTGGGAGACTTTCTCCGCCCTCAGCATTGCTGAGATGGGAAATGGCTCAAAACTAGTTTTAATAAATCAATAGTTTATTTTTTGACCCTCTTTTTTCTTTTTTAATGTACTTGAGGTTTAGCCTGTGTGATTGGTTGCTTGTGAGAACTTTTGCTGGGGAGATTAGATGAGCTGGAGCATTAATTGCCAAGATAGAAACTCCGATGAGGGATATAAGTATTATTTAATTTGCTCTCAAGTTCATTGCATAATTCTGTGGAATTGTTTTCCTTAGATTTGTCAGGGGCTTTTTGTCAGGGCTTTGCTTGTTCGAGCCTTCCGGCATGCGGCTGTGCATGCGTCTTCCTTGGGTGATTTGGGAAATGTGACTTCAGCTGTGACACATTTCCCCTTTGAAACCGGGATACAAAGAGGAGGCTTTCTAAGAAAGGCCAGCTGCTGTTGGCTGTGCAAACACTCCTCCCTCTTGTCCGAAAAGCTTGTGCTTCCCCCATCACTTCTAAATGAACTCGCATCCGCCTGCGTGAACCGTGTTTTGTGACGGGTGCCGCAGTCAGGCTGCACAGCAAAAGTCTCACAAGTGGAAACTATTCTCGTTTCTAGCTGTGGTTTGGCACTTTGGCCTTTTCTTGCGAAAGGGTGCAACTGTGCAAATGTATCTGTCTTGTTTGTATCTGTTCCCTCAATGAGCCTGAGGGTTTGGGTCAGCTGAAGGTACCAGCAGACGCCTGGGAGCTGAGGAAGGGCCAACATTGAGGCTTTGTGCTTGTGGACATCTCGACTTGGGAGACGTGACCAGCTTCATCTTGAAGAGCCTACAAGATTTTCTCTTTTCACATTAACAAATGGCTAAGTCATTTTGGACTGGTTTTGTCCTGAAAAGAAGCAAAGATTCATAGCAAACTGAAGCGGGAGAAAGGAGAAATGTCATCTTTTGACGTTCTTCATGAAGCTCCCTTGTGTTAGTGTTTTCAAAGCACACAGTCAAGTAAGTTCCCAGTTCTTTACTTTGCCCAGTGTTTCTTCTGTTGGTGTGGAGAGGGCTGGGGAGATGTTTCTTGCTGGAGTAGATTGAAGTATTGGACCAGGCCCTAGGAGCGTGTGCTTAACTCATTGCTGTTGTCAAACCAATCTTGATTCATTCTCTGCCCTTTGCAGGGGGAAATAACCAGGCTCGGATTTCTGCAAGTGAATGCTGCACTTAATTGGGTCACTATAGAACAATAAAATTTGTAGGCCGTGAGTCTACAGGAGAAGGCAGATCTCTGTACAAAGCTGAACAAACCGAGGCTTATGATGTCTAGGTAGGCCTGGCATCTTTTGTAAAGCATTCAGTGCTGTTATACAGAAGGTTCCAGAAGATATTTGCCTGATGCGATTTCAGCTTGTGCTCCATGTTTGGACACCAAGCACCTGCTCAAGCTCATGCAACATCTCACCATGCTTCCCACCTTTCTTCATTGCTTGCAGGCGGGCAAGATGGTGTCCAGACATCAGAAGAAGAGGTTCCCTATGAGCTGCAGTGTTGCTGGATCTTGGTCACCTGCTGCCCATTGTTTCATACCATTTAACAGGGAGCTAAAATACAAGCAATTTTAGTACAGTGCAATTAGGAAGTTCCTGATTATCAGGACTTGCAGTTGTTACTCTCTTGTTTCAGGATGGAGCTTTTTAGATCAACCTGCTTTGCTCTTGTTGGGGAAACTGTGCGAATAGGCTCTACTAAAGCTCTCTCAGCAATTGCCATTTGTATTTGTGCTCCTTCTTCCTCTGGTCGGTTCTCTGTGGTGGAGTTGGGCATGGGGAAAGGATGCAATAAACCTTTCTGTTCTCCTTTCACTAGATCTGCAGCTGTCTTTACAAAACAAAACAAAAAAAAAGGGAAAAAGGACACCCAACATCTGACACATGCTGGATTCAGGGAATCATGTCCGCGAGTTCCTCTGCTTTTGCAGCAGCAGTTTGCATTCTTGTGTCTTGGCAGCTGGACTCTAACGAACTCTAACGAGTGGCGTTATCCTGAGACTAGTTTGCTGATTGACCTTGCTGCAATTCCTTGCATTTGCACTTGGAATAGACTCCCTCCTGTAAGAGTGGAAATTACACTTATTTATTTTTGTTTTGTTTTCTTCCCTCTCCTTTCCTTCTCCATTCCAGAGGCTTTCTGGGATCCCCTTGTTTGCCTCCTGTCTACTTAAAATGAAATGGCACTTTTGGAGAGTGCTCTCAAAGCTTGTGGTTGTGGTCATCTAAATGCAGCAGTGACTTGAGTTGCAAGTGTGTACAGAGCTCTTTGTACATTAAATCCTATTTTTGGGGAAAAAAAAGACCAAACTGGTGCTTTGGGAATGGTTATTTCCATACCACAACAAAACTTTTAATGCTATTCAGTAGCGTCCAATTGACTTCACAGAAATCCTTTTTAATCGTGCATAGTTACGGCATTATAAGAAAACTGGGGTTCACTGTTTATTTGGTAACTAATGGTATTACCTAAATTCCATACTGAAGAAAAAGACCAAATTGGTTTAAAAAGATGATTTTCTCTGTATTTTTCCTGTATGGTTCTCCCACTATTGTCCAAAGCATTTTTCCCTGTACAAGACTGCTTTTTTTCTCAAATGATATAAGCAGAGCTGAGTTTGCCAGTTTGGCTCTTTGATTTTGAGGCTGATCTTCTCTAATTGAATTATTTTATTTAGCTATTGGTGGTAAAATTGCACATGCTAACACATACTGTACTTGCTGTGTAATTCAGTTCAGTTTCTGATACACTTTGTACCATACTTTGGATGAAAACTTAATTATGTTCAAGCTGATGCTCCATCAGGGGCTTGGAGCAAATGACTTTGCTGCTTAACTGCTACATATAGAGATTGTTTGCTTTTCATTTAGATGTCAACCCAGCTATTTAATAAGAAAGCATCAAGGAAATGTTCTTTAAATATTAAATCTCTTCAAATCGCAATTCTTAGCACTGCAGCTCTTACATTGCAATATTTAATTTGGGGCCAGAAGCTTGATTCCGGAGATTTTTCCACGCAGTATTCCTGGTCCTCCTTGTTTGAAAGTCTTCAGGAAGGAGTGCCTTGGTGGAGCAGCCCTGCAGCTTGGCGGCGTGGATGGGATTCACGGGATCAATTCACTTAACTGAAGATTCCCAGGTTAAAATCCAATTTAATAGGTCAGAACTAACTGACCAGAACAGTCCGAGTCTCTTATAATAAAACAATAACATTTCTTTTGCAGGGGAGGCTGAAAGTCTGCAGTTGTGTTGACCATCCTCTCCTCGCTTCCACCGTGATCTTGCTGTTCTCCTTGCTGTAATTATTGAACTTTTGCAGCCTAGGACGGGATTTGAAGCTCATCAGCTTCAATGCTCAATTGCAGATGTTTTTTTTTGAGAAATGCGTACACCGTGAAGCCCGATTTTGGCAGGTCCCCTCAGACAACACCGCCTTAGGTAGGCCTTGGGCACCGAAGCGCATGATGTTGTCTCTCCTTGGACACCTCTCCTGTCTCTAAATAAAGGAGATGGGAATTGTTTCAGCTGGAGGGAAATACTAAACTAAGCATGCAGAGGCATGCAAGGCGAGAAGGGGAAGTCAAGATTTTCGGGTATGGTGGTTCAGAGCTCAGTGCTTCTCAAGAACTGTAGACACTAAAGCAAGGCTTTCAAAGTGCTACTGCTGTGTGGAAGCCTGGATCTCCTGTCCTCCCTTCTCTGCTGCAGACTTTTAAGTTCAGACATTGATTGAGGTGGTGAGTTGCCCGATGGCCACGCGATGTTTTCATTCTTCAAGATCCGCTAGAGACAAATCCTGCCCATGTAAACCCTTGGGAGATGCGTAAAAGGTATTTTAGGGCCCAGCCAGCTGGAAAATAACTCTTTTGGATTTCTCGTCTCTGCTAGTCTTATTGTTGGCTCATGTTTTCCGGAGAAACAAGAACTGAATTACACAGACTTCCTTAACATCTTAGGGATGGACCCTGCTGCTGGTGGGTGCCATCAGTTCTCATCACTGGCTCGCAGGAGACAAAGAAAGGCAAGAGGTATTTCTTTTTTCCTTGCATTGGCTGTAGGCAGAAGATAAAGATTTATTTCTGAAGTCCTCTCTGGACTTTAGGGAGGTTGGTACCCACCCTACAAGCCTTCAGATCCCTACGGATCCTTCAGCCTGTTCTGATGCCTCCTCAGTGATGCTATTAGCTTCATAGCTCTGCGCGTTGGAGTGTTTTTCATTCACTGGAACTTACCTGCCTTTTTGAACAATGTGACCCTTCAAAACCTAAAGCAAGAATGTCCTAATTGGTTTTGTTTTAGAACACTGGGTTCCAAAAGGTGAAAATGCCTCCCCAAGAGGCTTTGGATGCAACTGGATGGAAGGGTTTTCTCACCTAGATCTTCCCAGTATTGAAGGTAGCCACAAAACACTGGATGTGTTTCCCTGGCAGCTGTTTGCCCACGTCTCAGCATATCCCCACGGAGGGATTTCTCAATTGCTTTAAAAAACAATGAGCCAAAGTCTTTTGGGGACTAAAGGCTCCATCACTTTGCTGTTTGCCGATGGAGGCTGTTGCTGTCATTCACAGCTGACGTGCCTTTGCATCA